TGTGAATTGGAGCTATAGAAATACACTGAATAGAACTAAACAGTAGCACTAGGTTGGGAACACTGTGGGCGTGTCCTTATTGTCCATCAGTCTCTCAGATATCTTCCAGTTATTCCTGTGACTCAGACAGAATGTTGCAGACAGGCTGTTTTAGAGAAATCTGGTTTTGGACGTAGTTTTAAGTTGACTGGGCCTTGAACACTCTGAAGAGTGAGATTCCCTGCAGCTTCTAGAGTTTTCCCCAATACTGCCTGGTCCAGGAGAAAAGCAGCACAGCAGGGGTACTTCATATGTCCCTGGGGGAGTCCAGCTCCTGGGTCTTTGCAGATACGATGCAGAGCAGAGGAAAGCAATATGCTCCACCAGTGTTCAAAGTCAATATCATTGCTGATGGTTTAACAGCATAAACATGAAGCCAGATTAGATCCAGTCTGTGTTAAAACATCCCAGTCAAACATCAGAGCTGAATCTATTAGCTTTTAACTGACTCTCTCTATTCTATCTGAATAAAATCCAGCAAGAAAATTCATTTCAACATCTGTGAAGCTGAACAAGAACCCAAAGAGTTAATAATGGCAGCAACATGTAGATCTACAAAGTATAGTTCAAACATTTCAGATCTATAGTCAGCCAGTATTTTGAACACCAGTTACCGTCTACCTCGTTCTTAATGATGATGTCCTGCTTATTCCAGAACTCCTTATGTTTAAACTTCGCATTCCTGATAAAACATTAGAGGACAGGCTGAAAAAGACCCAGGCCCAGTCTATGACAGACAATGGCTTTAAACGGACAAAACAAGAAGATGAGAGGAAAGAGCGAGGGGAGCATTCCCAGGTGACTCCCGGACCTGATGAAATGTTCCTCCCCTCCATCCACTGTGATTAATTCCCAGTAAGATGCTTGCTTTTAGACCCCAGAGGGTCCTGATAATGGAGGATTTATTCTGTCAGAATGAAAGAGGTTAGTGGAGTAGAGTTGGATGTTTTCTAATGCTTTTCTCTTCCCTCTGTTAGCTAAAGGTCTCTCTATCAGTCTGCTCACTCTCTTTACTCTTATTCAAGCAGAATCAATCATCGTTCTCAGAGCCTGATTTACTGTCCGCTTGGTGAGATGGTGGACATTTGTCAGACTTTTCTATAACCTGCTGAGGATGCAACTGTACATCTGTGTTTATCCCCTCTGGTGTGATAAGGCCAGCTTAGGGACACATTAGGCGAGGCAGGGTGTTGAGATCAGATGGGATTGTGGAGGATTTCCAGGAACGGGGTTGTGGCTTTAGTGATGGGAATCCTCTTCGTTTACCCCCCTGAGAGGAAGCGAGCTGCTCACTATTCCAGTATGAAGACAGTCGACCACAAAAGGCAGAACCAGGCTGCAGGTCAAACAGTGAGACAGCAGAACATCCAGGTCCTGATTTAGGCCTAAAAATCATCTGTCTTTATAACAGACATAGAGGGCAACAGCTAATACTAAACATCCTTCTGGGTAAAGATTTGAATAGTTAAAAATATCCCAACTACTTTCAGTAAAGACTTAAATTTAAGGTTTGTTTCCACTTCAGGAGGCTTTCTTCTTGCCCTGCGTCATTTCAGGTCTCTCTGCCAGGGGAAAGGCGCAGCTTTGGGTAAAGGCGCAGATTTGGGTAAAGGCGCAGCTTTGGGTAAAGGCGCAGCTTTGGGTAAAGGCGCAGATTTGGGTAAAGGCGCAGCTTTGGGTAAATGTGCAGCTTTGGGTAAATGTGAAGCTTTGGGTAAAGGCGCAGATTTGGGTAAAGGCGCAGCTTTGGGTAAAGGCGCAGCTTTGGGTAAAGGCGCAGCTTTGGGTAAAGGCGCAGATTTGGGTAAAGGCGCAGCTTTGGGTAAAGGCGCAGCTTTGGGTAAATGTGCAGCTTTGGGTAAAGGCGCAGCTTTGGGTAAAGGCGCAGCTTTGGGTAAATGTGCAGCTTTGGGTAAATGTGAAGCTTTGGGTAAAGGCGCAGATTTGGGTAAAGGCGCAGCTTTGGGTAAAGGCGCAGATTTGGGTAAAGGCGCAGCTTTGGGTAAATGTGCAGCTTTGGGTAAATGTGAAGCTTTGGGTAAAGGCGCAGATTTGGGTAAAGGCGCAGCTTTGGGTAAAGGCGCAGCTTTGGGTAAAGGCGCAGCTTTGGGTAAATGTGCAGCTTTGGGTAAATGTGAAGCTTTGGGTAAAGGCGCAGATTTGGGTAAAGGCGCAGCTTTGGGTAAAGGCGCAGCTTTGGGTAAAGGCGCAGATTTGGGTAAAGGCGCAGCTTTGGGTAAAGGCGCAGCTTTGGGTAAATGTGCAGCTTTGGGTAAAGGCGCAGCTTTGGGTAAAGGTGCAGCTTTGGGTAAATGTGCAGCTTTGGGTAAATGTGAAGCTTTGGGTAAAGGCGCAGATTTGGGTAAAGGCGCAGCTTTGGGTAAAGGCGCAGATTTGGGTAAAGGCGCAGCTTTGGGTAAATGTGCAGCTTTGGGTAAATGTAAAGCTTTGGGTAAAGGCGCAGATTTGGGTAAAGGCGCAGCTTTGGGTAAAGGCGCAGCTTTGGGTAAAGGCGCAGCTTTGGGTAAATGTGCAGCTTTGGGTAAATGTGAAGCTTTGGGTAAAGGCGCAGATTTGGGTAAAGGCGCAGCTTTGGGTAAAGGCGCAGCTTTGGGTAAAGGCGCAGATTTGGGTAAAGGCGCAGCTTTGGGTAAAGGCTCAGCTTTGGGTAAATGTGCAGCTTTGGGTAAATGTGAAGCTTTGGGTAAAGGCGCAGCTTTGGGTAAATGTGCAGCTTTGGGTAAAGGCGCAGCTTTGGGTAAATGTGCAGCTTTGGGTAAATGTGCAGCTTTGGGTAAAGGCGCAGATTTGGGTAAAGGCGCAGCTTTGGGTAAATGTGCAGCTTTGGGTAAATGTGCGGCTTTGGGTAAAGGCGCGGCTTTAGGTAAATGTGCAGCTTTGGGTAAAGGCGCAGCTTTGGGTAAAGGCGCAGCTTTGGGTAAATGTGCAGCTTTGGGTAAAGGCGCAGATTTGGGTAAAGGCGCAGATTTGGGTAAAGGCGCAGCTTTGGGTAAATGTGCAGCTTTGGGTAAATGTGCAGCTTTGGGTAAAGGCGCAGCTTTGGGTAAATGTGCAGCTTTGGGTAAAGGCGCAGATTTGGGTAAAGGCGCAGCTTTGGGTAAATGTGCAGCTTTGGGTAAATGTGAAGCTTTGGGTAAAGGCGCAGCTTTGGGTAAAGGCGCAGCTTTGGGTAAATGTGCAGCTTTGGGTATATGTGCAGCTTTGGGTAAAGGCGCAGCTTTGGGTAAAGGCGCAGCTTTGGGTAAAGGCGCAGATTTGGGTAAAGGCGCAGCTTTGGGTAAATGTGCAGCTTTGGGTAAATGTGCAGCTTTGGGTAAATGTGCTGCTTTGGGTAAAGGCGCAGCTTTGGGTAAATGTGCAGCTTTGGGTAAATGTGCTGCTTTGGGTAAAGGCGCAGCTTTGGGTAGATGTGCTGCTTTGGGTAAATGTGCAGCTTTGGGTAAAGGCGCAGATTTGGGTAAAGGCGCAGCTTTGGGTAAATGTGCAGCTTTGGGTAAATGTGCAGCTTTGGGTAGATGTGCAGCTTTGGGTAAATGTGCGGCTTTGGGTAGATGTGCAGCTTTGGGTAAATGTGCAGCTTTGGGTAAATGTGCAGCTTTGGGTAAAGGCGCAGCTTTGGGTAGATGTGCAGTTTTGGGTAAATGTGCAGCTTTGGGTAGATGTGCAGCTTTGGGTAAATGTGCAGCTTTGGGTAAATGTGCAGCTTTGGGTAAATGTGCGGCTTTGGGTAGATGTGCAGCTTTGGGTAAATGTGCAGCTTTGGGTAAATGTGCAGCTTTGGGTAAATGCGCAGCTTTGGGTAGATGTGCAGCTTTGGGTAAACTTGTGATTCTGGACTTGTGACCAGACTCGAGGCTTTCAGTAACCTAGTTTTAGCTCCACCCACCCCTGCATCCTGTAGAGTTTCTGTGCCTTTACAGTCGTCCTCCACTGCTCATTGAATCTGCCTTATTCAGTGTTTGTTTTGATTTCTGTGTTCTTGCTGATTATTCTGCCACAAGCAGGTCGATAAGTTGTGAAATTCTGCTTCTCTGGAGTTTCTGTAAGTCTGACAGTTTTATGGGTTTTATAACCAATGAGCTCAGTTTTTGATTTTAAATGTTTGATCAAAGCTCCGTCGTTCATCACAGCCAGTTAAACTCAGATCAGTTATTTTTCAGGACAGGGTTGAAGAGTGCATCGCCATCCTAGTCCTGACTCGTAGTGAGAATGCCACATTGTTTATCAGTGGTACAGCTTTGTAAATAAGTCTAAAGTATATCTTAGCTCCAGTAAACAGTGGATGGTCCTGGTTTAGGTTTGGATCGGAGCTCTGCTCTGGAAAAAGGCGTTGAATCAGAGAGACGGAGGGGAAAATGACGACGGAGGAGAACAATTTCTGTGTGATTTATAAAGGCCTTTGACCCTTTCACACAACGTCTGATACTCGGATGACGAGTCAAACACTCACACACACACGCCCTGGAACACAGGCAGGGACACACTCAGACCACGTAATTGAATATTGTGCAGAAAGCAAACACTGAGCTGTAAACAGATCGTCTATCAGCTCTTAGTTTAATCCATATCTTTAATGCCAAAAAGAGACGTGCCCCCCCCAAACACACACACACACACACACACACACACACACACACACACACACACACACACACACACACACACACAGGCTGCAACTTGTCAAACAAACAAATGAGGCTGGAGTCCCTGTGAAAATCATCACCATGACCATCCCAGCGTCATCATCACGTTAGCCTGCTCCATTACACAGCAACACAATCCGGCCTGAAATCAATTAGCCGCCATGCTAGCAGCGTGAAGCCCCCCCCCCTGCTCTTAGCTTTGGCTCCACGTCTCTAAGCGGATCGTTGGACTTTATCTCAGGAATGGTGACGAACCTTTGACTGAAGACCTAGTTCCTACGGTAACCACTTCTAGATGACATCACCACATAGGTGTTTAATGCTGCCGTTTTTCCGTCTCTGTCCTTTTCTGACGCTGTGATCTAATAAAGGCTGTAGCAGCCGCTTCATTTTTAAATAATTTCAGGTTTTGTTGAAAATGTCAGAAATGATGCAGCCATTGCTCAGCAGTCTGAGCCGCCCCACTGTTAGAGGATTTATTACTGACCTCAGGTTCACCTTTTTATTTAGAAACTAAACTATTTCCCAGAGGTGGCTACTAATTAGTTACCTTTACTTGATTGGAAATAAATGTACTTTTAGGAGTAGTGTGCCGTACTTCTTACTTCAGTAATATTCTTGTAAAGTATCTCTACTCCTACTTGTCTGAAATCTCTGACTCGTCTGTGACTCATTTGAATTATTCAAAAATTGAATAAACATGCCGTAAACAGTAGAGATCTACAGTGGAAGTTTGTTCTAAGGATTTTCTAAATTTGATACTACTTATATTTTCTACTTTTTCTGCATAATTTTTTTAATTTTATATATTTGTCATTTATTTGTATTATTTATGCATCTGAGTTTAAAATGCCAGAACTTTGCACATAAAGTCTGTCTGCCAGCATCATTTATAAACGTGTAATAATACCACAGTTACTCGGTACTTGCATAGCCTTTCTACTGAATACCTTATTTACTTTTACTTGAGTAAAAGCTGTTAAAGTAGCGCTAACCCTTAGCTGAGTATAATTTTAGCGAACTCTGGGCAAATAGCCGCTGCCATCCATTAGCGGATCCTGTGGCCTTTAGCAGGCGGCGGTGGTCTTCTCTGGCCGTCGCCGTATTGGCTTAGTGGAAGCCATGGTGTCAGGCTGAGGAAATGGCGCCGCAGGATGCCAGTCTCCACGCCGCCTGCAGGCGGGTCTGTTCAGGCCGAGGCGACCGGCCAGATTCATCCACTTCTCTGTTTACTCTATATGTGCTGTGGTGAAAACAAGCATGCTGATACAGTGGCTTCCCTAATCACTGTCAGCTTTTTCCTATCGCCATATTGAATTACCTTTCCCCGCAGCTACTGGCTAAATCTGAAGAGTTTTTGACCAACACCAACCTCTCAGACATCTCAGTGTAATTTCCTCTCTGGGTGTCTGTCTATGTGAATCCAGCTGTTTGTTTGTGATTTTAGCCTGACCTTTAGGAGACAAAGCGGCCATATTGAACAGGTTGCTGTTGTTTTAGGACATTTTTAACCCCTAACTTTGGGAGTCCAGTAAAACCAGGTGTCTTGCAGTCCCTGCCTGCGTGAAGGCAGAGGACCTGGCAGAAGCAGAATCCACCTGTGTGCATAGAGACCCGGTCCTTCCTGCTCTGACAGGACCCGGGTTAACATGTTTGCCTCTCAGCCCTGTCTGCGCCTGAGTGGCGTAAATGAAAAACTTTCCTGTGAAAGGCCTGCAGAGTTGTGCTTGTTTGTTCAAACCCACTCAGGGTTTCCCTCCTCTCAGGTGCCATCATCACCGTCTGTTTGCTCACCACTTGCTCTTAGAGACCAACATAATGGCCCCTCCACAAAACGCAGAACAATGTGTGTTTACCTGATTTGTGTGCAAACATGAGCGCGGATGTTCTGGGCCATCAGCTGATAGATTTGTGGCTCGCTAGCTTATGACACCAGCATTTATCCAAGGCTATAAAGTCGAGCAACATATCATAATGGGCGACACGTTGAGGTGGTCGGCTCTTTAAAAAGCACAGGATCCCATTCAGACTTGTTTTTATAAAAGATCCATTCATTAAATAATCCCTTTAGGGCAGCTTCCTCCTAACAGGATATCTGCATATTTCCTTTTTATTTTGATTTCTTTAAAATAAAAGCTAAAAGTTGAAGCTTCTACAGGTTTAGCAGTTTTTTATTATTGCTGTTTTAATTCCAGCAGGAAGTTTGTGTCGGATAGAAAAAGAGTTGTTAATCTTTCAAAAGGCAATAAAACAAAATCAGAGGAGGACAGAAGGTCAATATAAGGAAAATGTTATTATAGATCAACAGTACTGGTTCCAGTTGACCAACACTGTGTGACGTTTTTCTGTCCTCACCGTGTCCCAACCAGTGTCCATCAGCTTTATCATGTCTTTAAGTCCCGGTCCATCCAACTGGACAAATATTTGATGCTCTGCAGCGTCGTAATACGACACCTTCAATATGTTGTGTCTCTGGAGTTCTTAGATATAAAATGTTCAAAGTTCAGTTCTATTCAGTGTATTTCTATAGCTCCAATTCACATCATGTCATCTCAGGTCACTTTCCAGTTCACCAGATCATCCAGTCAGATTGATTCAAAGTTTTCTATCTAAGGAAAACCAGCTGATTGCATCGACTCATTGACTCTTCAGCAATCCCTCACACTAAGCATGCTTGTAGCGACAGTGGAGAGGAAAAACTCCCTTTGAACAGGAAGAAACCTCCAGCAGAACCAGGCTCAGTGTGAGCGGCCATCTGCTGAGGCCCACTGGGGTTCAAGGAGACAGAAGCAGACATAGAAAAAGAAGCATAGATACAAAAGGCAACTGTCAACCAGCTCCACAGGCGGCATGCAGCCAAGTTCTTGCTTTACTTCAAACTGAAGGGCTTAGCCTGATCCAACAACTGAAGGCAAACTCGTTCACTGATGCTTTTAAACCTGCTTCAAACCGAGACGGAAGCCATAAAGGTTTAATAAGCTGAGAGAGGATCTGCCATTTCTGCTGGATCTCCATGGTTCTCACCTGATGGCCGTTCCTGCAGCGGTGGCCTGAAGCTGAACATCTCAGATCAGTGAATGTTTTCATCAGGATGAATTCTCTGGATTTCATTCATAGTATCTGGAGAGAGAATAAACATGCAGCTCTGAAGAAGCCCAAACATTGTAGATTAACATGGATTTTTTCTGAATGAGGCTGCAGCACAACAAGGAAACCTCCTGTTAAAGCGACGCCATGTTGGTTCTCCGGTTTCAGCGTGCCATCAGGAACCTTGGTCCTGAAGTGATTACTGGTTCTTTGGAAAGATTCATTTTGCTGTTTTCTTCGAATGAACATTATATCATGGTGAATAATTACTGTCGGATGTGAGGAAGCTGCTCTCAGCTCTTTGGGATTAAATGGCTTTAGTCCATTTGAAAGTTTATGGTTTGAACATAAATATTAAGGTTAGGCCTTGGCCGCCAGGAAAGCTCTGTTTAGGAGCAAGGTTGTGACATCATGCATGTTTGTGTGACATAGACAGACACGTATGAGCCTCGGCGTGTTCCTCCAGCCCTCTGCTATTAACTGCTTACAGGTTAATGCATCTTCGTCTTTAAACACGTGCGTTAGCATGCGTGCTGGGTAAAGCGCCTGGAGGCGGAGCCTGGTATCAATGGGAGTAGGAACACTTAGCCTCCACCTCTGAGACTGCAAACGGAGTAAATGATTCAGAAGCAGCGGCCTTAATGTAATGAAAGAAAGACTCTGCATGTCAGGATCACACTCATTCCTACCTATGGGTGCTAATCCTGTGAGCTTACATCTCCATTAACACCAACCCTGCACCACACAGCCAGTTACCACTCTGATCTCCCCGAGGACTTCAAAGACACTTCCTTTCTCTCCCCGCCCCCCCAGAGGGACGTCAGGATGGGTTCACAGCACAGTCACAGAGAGTGTGGTGGACTTAAAGTCTATTAAAGCTGTGTTGTGAAGTTCTAGCATGTGGATGATACCGTGTCTGTGAGCTCGGGTGTAAATAAAGCATAGAATAAAGTAGCCGGTTCAGTCAGAGACGCTGTTCCTTCCTGCAGCTGCTAGATTTTCATCATTAACATGTTTCTAAATGCGTCCCATCAGTGTAAATGTGTCTGCTTTAGCACCGTGTAAGTGATGAAAGTGCTTCTCTCCATCCTGCTGTTTCCTCCAGCGTTACAGGTCGGTTCGTTAATGTCGCAGGTCAATGTACCGCAGCTCTGGCATCAGCCGTACTTCCAGGTTTCTCTACTAACTGACTGGTTTCTGGTGAGATTAAAGTAAACTCAGAGAAACCAGCCATGTTCAGAACTGGATGGACAGACGGACAGACGGTGATCTTTAACTCGGCCACAAAGAGCCATGAATATCCCTGAGACGTGTTGAGTCCATCAGATGCAGGTCAGCAGCGGGGGAGCGAGGTCCCTTAAAGTGGAGCTGAAGGTGTCGTCCTGCTGCAGCCTGTTTTATGACTGACTGACTTCACACCACCACCTGCACACCATCCCCGGCAACACACACCCTGTAATAAAGAAATTAGCTCCATTACGCCCTTTGCACTAATGCCTAATAAAATAAGCACTGAGCCTCTTAACATGGCAGGTAACCCAGAAACCACGGAACGCACCTTTAACACCCCAAACACCTTAGCAGCGCTATCAAAGTATCCATGTTTATTCCTCCAGTATAAATCCTGCTGTTTATAGAAGTTAGAGGATCAAATTCAGCCTTTTACTCCAGTAAAAGTGTAAAAGAACCATTTTTAAAGCTAAAATATAAAAATCAAAGTAATGCAGTGAAACCTGTTAATGCCAGAAGCTTTACTGCTCTACTCTATTAAAGGAACATTTCTCTACTATTCTGGACGATAACTTCCTTAGACTTCATTCTCTTAGTTTTATAACTAATAATGGTTGCATCATCTGGAAAAACTATTTATTTTGGTTTGCTGTGAGCAACAAGTTGGGGCAGCACCGAGTCCAACCACAAAGAAATGAATTGTCTGGATGAAACTTTATATTTGAAAGTTATTTATAAAATCTAAGGAGTAGAAGGAAAAGTTGTCTAAAGAATAATTAGTTCAGTAAAGTATAGAAAGCTAATATTTCTACTTAGGGAAGGGAGTAATTCTACTAGACGCCTCTGGATCTTCAACTGGTTGAACTGGTGAAGATTTTCTAGGTTTTGGTGAATATCTCATTCCTTCCTCCGTCGCTGCTAAAGGTTGATTCCCAGTTTATTTCTGTTGCTCTATGGATCAGATCATAATTAGGAACTTTCACCTTCCGGTCCTT